ATAAACGAAAGCGCTCAATTTTATGGTCAATTATTACTTGATGATTTACAGGTAGGTCAGCTAGTCAAAGGTACAGGCTGGTGGGGCAATAAATATGGGATACAACTCGGAGGACGCTTTGTCAATATTTTTAAAATCAATCAGCTGGATGCGCAGCTAGAATTTAATATGGTGCGTCCTTATACCTATTCACATTATGGCCCAGGCAATACAGACACCTTAGATAATTTTACGCATTACAATCAGCCACTAGCCCATCCCTTCGGAGCCAATTTTATGGAAATTTATGGTAGACTTAGTTACAAACCTATTCCAAAATTAAAAATAGAAGCCAAACTCAACTATAATAAACGAGGTTATGATGCATCCGGAACATTGAATGGCAATAATATATTTGCTAATACAAATGGACCAACAATACCTATGGAGTTTAATAATGAACTGCTACAAGGAGAAAAAATGACCCAACAAATCCTAACCTTAGGTGGGCAATATAGTCTTTTTCATAATATGTTTTGGGATTTAGACTTAATCTATAGAAATACAACTCATGATGCTTCTGGAGTTTCGAAAAATACACTTGGATTTATCACAGGACTGCGAATCAATCTAAGAAAGAGGGATTATATGTTTTAAGATATCCGTTATCATTTTTGATATCTATCCATTAGACATTAGTTTATTAATTCTATGGACTTAATTCTGCTATAATTATCTTCGTACCATATAATTAAAGAAGATGGAAACGTTTATCATACTTGTACTCATAGTTATTCTTATCATTCAATCTATCAAAGGCTCTGGAAAAAGCGATATAATGAATGAACTATTTACTATCAATCGACGGTTAGAAAAAATATATAAGGAGATTCAAGAACTAAAAACAGCTTCTCAATTTATACCAAATCCCAAAGGCGAAACTGCTGAAGATGAGCTCATAAAAAGAGCTGAATCTAAGCTAGAATCTCAACATGTCATAACAGAGCAACTAGAAGAAAAGCAAGAGAAACTATCCGTAGATATTCCTGAACCTTCGATAGAAAAGATAACGGAATCAGAACCTCCTAAACCCCTTGTGACTAATATTCCACCAAAACCTATACCTGCTCCTATAATGGAGGATAGTGACGGCTTTTGGACTAAGCTCATGCGAGAAAACCCAGATATGGAAAAATTTGTAGGAGAGAATCTATTGAGTAAAATAGCCATTGTTATTTTAGTATTAGGGATTTCATTTTTCGTAAAATATGCTATAGACCAAAATTGGATAAATGAAACGGCACGAGTTGCCATCGGTATTTTAGCGGGAATTATCCTTCTCGGATTTAGTCAATATCTACACAGAGAGTATAAGGCGTTTAGTTCTATTCTAGTCGCAGGTGCTATTACTGTATTCTATTTCACTATTGGCTATGGATTTCACGTATATCAGCTATACTCGCAGACTACTGCATTTATCATCATGGTGATCATTACAGCATTCTCATCGCTACTTTCTCTCTATTATGATAGACAGGAATTGGCGGTTTTGTCTACTATAGGAGGCTTTGCAGTGCCATTTATGGTAAGTACTGGCGATGGCAATTATGTGGTTCTATTTACCTATCTTCTCATACTTAATTTAGGTTTGTTAATCCTCTCGTATTTTAAAAGTTGGGATATAGTAAAAATGGTTTCGTTCGCCTTCACCTTTATCATATATGGTGCATGGTACATTAATAACTTCCCTGCTATCAGTCACACAGCCCACAATAATGCTTTACTTTTCATTACCCTTTTCTATCTCCTTTATCTCATCATGAATGTGCTCGATGTAGTTAAAAATAGACCGATTCATCTAGGGTTCAAAATTGCATTCTTATTTATCAATACGTTTTTAACTTATGCAATTACAATGAATATTTTGCACGAGTTCTATCCAAATCTTAAAGGACTCTATACATTCGGGATGGCCATCATCAATTTAATTCTGACTTACCTAGTATATAAGAGAGCTCAAGACCAAAAATCTGTCCTTTATCTTTTACTTGGTATGACGCTTTTATTAGCTACCATCACCATCCCTATACAGTTCAAAGGGCATTATATCACTATTTTCTGGGCAGCAGAAGCAGCTATTTTTGTATGGCTCTCTCTTAAGACAAAACAACATTATTTACTAGCCGTTTCTCTTTTAATCTTCGGTCTTACCTGTATTAGCCTAGTCATGGATTGGACTAAATATGACAATGGATTTGAATATGCCATCATAGCTAATTCTATTTTCCTGACGGGTATATTCGTTTGTGCATCGCTCTATGCTTCTTGGTATCTTTATAGAGATCAAACTGGAAAGCCAACTATATTTATTCTTGAAAATTTTGATAGTAAGGTATTTCTGTTAGCTGGATTATTCATTACTTATCTCGTCGGTTTTATGGAAGTACAATACCAAGCTAGTCAATACGTTTCCGTCTATCAGAAAACACCATTACTCATCTACCACCTTATTTTTGCTACTCTTGCAGCTCTGGCACTTTGCCGAATGAGCGGATACGCATTAGCAGCAGGATTAGGTTTAGCTGTTCTCAATCTGCTCATTTTTATTCTATATGCGGCCTATTTACCATTTAACGAAATGGCGTCCAACCTTTATACCAATGACAATAGTCTCATTAATTTCTATGCCAACTTTATCTACCTAGTTTGCTTAGCCCTATCGATCTATTCTCTCAAAACTATTTATAGTAAAGCCCCTAACCTCTTTATTATGAGCAAGGATAAATTAATTACTATTTTTCTATTATTTATCCTTTTCATCGTCAGCAATCAATTATTGATGTATATTTTGGAATACAATTTATCGACTTGTAGTATTGATTCATATTTTGATTTAAAAACGCAACTCTATAAAGTCCTGTTCCCTATCGTATGGGGCTTGCTAAGTTTCCTCTATTTAGCATATGGCATACGAAATAAAATGCGAATAGTGCGTATCGTTTCCCTTTGTCTCATACTAATCACGGTGGCGAAACTATTCCTATATGATATACGCGATGTATCTGAAGGCGGAAAAATATTGGCATTCATTCTCTTAGGTGTGCTTATGCTCATTATGGCTTTTATGTATCAAAAAATTAAAACCCTCATTACAGATGACACTGATGCACCAGCTAAAGATTAGTTCAGTATTTGGTTTACTAATTTTAGTTAGTATATCATGCTATAGTCAAAATTTTGACTATAATACGAACTTACCTCTAATAACAAAATCTGGTTATACCAAAATCAAACTAGACCCTAAATTCTTGGCAGTTTCTCAGACTGACTTATCCGATGTCAGAATACTAGATAAGCAGAAAAAAGAGGTCCCTTATCTCATTAGGAGAAAGACCTATGACCATAAATATGAGCATACAACCCATGCATTCAATATATTGAGTAAAAAAAGTATTGAAAATTCCTATACTGAAATTAAGTTTGAAAATCCAGAGCAAAAAGAAATATCCGAAATTATACTTTCCATAGTGAATAGCAATGCCTCAAAAAAATTCAGCATAGAAGGCAGTCAAAATCAAAGTCAATGGTATGCTATAAGTGAAGGAAGCATAAATGATATTAATCATCCAACAGCCATAAGTACTAATAAGGAAATTCGTTTACCTAAAACGAAATACGCCTACTATAAAATCAGATTGAATGATTCTCAATCCGCTCCCATCAATATCACACGTATTTATACAGAAAAGTACAATGAAGAATGGTATACAAATAGATCTGCCATCACTAGTTATAAACTCAAGTGGAATTTAAAAGGAAATGATAATCTAATAGAAGTGAGTTCCGACTTCCCTTTTCAGCTAAATGAACTATTATTCGTCACATCGCAGACTAATTTTTTTCAAAGAGATATACGAATTTTCACCAATGAAAAGCGAAAGAAAAAATCTTATGAAATCGATTTATACCAAGGCCGAATAAGTCATGAAGAGTTGCTTCTAACTGGACTAGAAATTAATGCCAAACATTTTTTTATTCAAGTGTATAATCATAATAATCAGCCACTCCCATTGACTAATTTGCTTTTTTATCAGCACCCTACCTATCTCATAGCCGAGCTAGAGGCCAACCAAGAATACAGTCTTCATGCAGGTCAAAAAGGACTCAATGCTCCTATTTATGACCTATCCTACCTTTCCAATCAAATTCCAGACAGTATTCCTAGTATAGACATACCTGATTTTGAAATTAAAACAACACATATTTCGAATCCTAATCTTCACTTTTATGAGAACAAATGGTTTTTATGGTCTGTCCTTGCGATAGGATCCATGCTTATCATTTATATCTCTTCTCAAATTATACGCAAATTGAATTCAAAATAATCGCAAACAAACGACATTTTATGTCGCTATCGTTTCTCATATTTGCTATAAAATTTAGCGATATGAAAAATCAATCAGTCAAAGAAAACACCGCCGAACTCAAAAAAGAAATAAAAAAGACCTTTGAATCTATGATACATGATGTCATTAAGGGCAAAGTGAGTATACAGGAATTTACACAGAAGATAAACTACAATTACGCACAAAAGAAAATGGAAATTTCTGGAACGCTCTTCTAGAGCACTCTGAGAATATTCGAAATGACGGTTTTGGAACCTTGAACCTTGCCTTCAAATTTGTAGCCATCTGCATAGACCTCCGTAATGCGGATATTTAATTTTCTATTTCTAAAGAAACTTACTTCTTCATTATTTCCATCGATTAAATGCAATTCATATTCACATTCATTAATCCATCGAATACCGAATCTGATGTACTTTCCAGTCTTTAAATCTGTCTCTAACTGCTCAGTTGCTGTTCGCTCAATCCGAACATGAATATTTGATTTCTGTTCGAATAGAATAAATTTACCTGTTTTATAATAGGTGCAGTTCGTGAGTGCATGCATATGCAAACACAATAAAACAAGTCCTAAAAAGAAACCTAATTTCTTCACTAAAATATTAAATTTACCTCTCTTTCAAGGGCAAATTTAAATCTTTTCTCTACTTCTCTTATGATTTTTTCTGAATAGTCATAAATTTCTTGACCTGTAGCTCCTCCATAGTTCACTATGACCAAGGCTTGATCTTTATGACTGCCTACATTACCTTCCTTATATCCCTTAAATCCACATTGCTCTATAAGCCAGCCTGCAGGTATTTTAACCTTGTCTCCATCTGGAAAATTCGGAGCATTTGGATATTCCTTGATTAATATTTCTGCCTTCTCTTTATCTACGACCGGGTTTTTGAAAAATGAACCCGCATTGCCAAGATCTGTTGGATTAGGTAGTTTAGAACTACGTATTTCTATGACCGCATCGGAAATATCTCGATGGCTAGGAGATAAGATTGCTTTGCGATTCAGTACATCTTGAATATTTCCATAACTAGCATGGATAGGACTATTTCGAGATAATTTTAAATGTACTTGATATATAAAGTATTGATCCTTCATTGCCCTTTTAAAAATACTTTCCCTATATCCGAAATCACAGGCAGCATAATCAAACGACTTAAGCTCCCCTGTAGCTAATTCAATAGCGTCTACGGACAAACAATAATCTTTAAACTCTACCCCATAGGCTCCAATATTCTGCATAGGAGCGGCACCTATCGTACCTGGAATCAAAGACATATTTTCTAATCCAAAGAAGCCTCTATCCAATGTCCAAAGCACAAATTCATGCCAATTCTCACCCGATAGCGCAGTGACATGTATGTCATTCTCGTTTATAGGGTCTGCGCATAAACCTATCAATCGGTTCACGATAACCAAACCATCAAAATCTTTTATAAATAAAACATTAGAACCGCCACCTAGAAACATAAATTTTTCAGTCGCCAATCGTGGCAATAGTTGCTTCAAATCATCTAACGAAAAAATCTCTATTAATTCCGATGCCTGTGCCTCTACCCCAAAGGTATTAAAGGATTTTAAAGAAGCATTTTTAAAGGTATTCAAAATCGTTCGTTATACCAATTCTACAAAGTAATATGTCTTCTTTCCCTGCTGCACTAGAATCATTTTTTCATGCAATACATCTTGGGTAGTCACTTTACAGTCACCTGCAACTTTTGTCTTATTGATGCTGATAGCATTCTCGCCTAGTTTTTGTCTCGCCTGACCATTCGATGGAAATATCTGGGTGTCTGCAACCAAGAACTCTGTAATATCTATACCTTGGCTCAATTTATCTCTAGATACTGTAAACTGCTTCAATCCACCAAAAACTTCTTTGAGTCCATCATAGTCTGTAGCTTTCAAAGTCTCTATATCTCCGGAAAATAACAAATCACTGAGCGCTATCGCCTGCTGGTATTCTCCTTCACTATGAATCATAGTTGTCAGTTCCTGACCTAACGATTTATGAATACTTCGTAAATGTGGTGCCGCTTTGAATTCAGCCTCCATAGCCTCAATTTCTTCCTTTCCTTTGAATGAAAATCTTCGATTGAGATTGAGAATTTCTTCATCGGTTCTATTCAAGACAAATTGATACAACTTATAGGGCGATGTCTGTTTTGGGTCTAGCCAAATATTCTCTCCAGCTTCTGATTTTCCCATTTTAGTGCCATCAGATTTAGTCACCAGCGAACTAGTAATAGCATAGACCTTCTCCCCTAGCACTCTTCGGACAAGCTCTACTCCTGTGGTGATATTGCCCCATTGGTCACTGCCGCCTAACTGAAGCTTACAATTATAATTTTTATACAAATGCAAAAAGTCATACCCTTGTATCAATTGGTAGGTAAATTCTGTAAAAGAAATACCAGATTCCAAACGATTCTGCACACTGTCTTTACTCATCATGTAACTCACCGTAATATGCTTACCGACGTCTCGAATGAAATCTAGAAAACTAAAATCTTTGAACCAATCATAATTATTGACCATGATGGCATCGTTCTTTCCCGTTCCAAACTCTATAAATTTTTCTAACTGTTTCTTTTGACTAGCTATATACGCATCGATTTCATCGATAGATAAAAGAGTTCTCTCCCCTGTCATCTTAGGATCTCCCACACGGCCGGTAGCACCGCCCATGAGTGCTATTGGTTTATGCCCTGCTAGTTGTAATCTTTTCAAAAGGACTATCTGCTGAAAATTCCCTAGATGTAGCGAACTTGCAGTAGGATCAAAGCCGATATAACCAGCAGTGGATTCTTTTTGCAATTGCGCCTCTGTTTCAGCCACACAGTCCTGAAACTTTCCTCTCCATTTTAATTCTTCTATAAAATTCGTACTCACGATTATGATTCAATATAAGCTACAAAAATAATAGAATCAAAAGATGTTAGCTGAGAAACATCGATTATATTATTTTTGAAACTATGAATCTTAGAAGTTTAAACCCATTTTTAGTTTTATTATTCCTCCTTGTATCTCTAGATGCATTGGCACAGTCGCCGTATCAGCTAGATACAAAAAGAGAAATTTCGCTTTACAGTGTTGCCTTAGGTTCTCTTGCTTTTGGTCAGCTTACAAACTCAACATTAACACCCTTATCTCCAAATGCTATAAACACATTAAATCCTAATGATATTCACCCCTTCGATAGAGCCACAATTCAAAATAACTCAAAATGGGCAGCAGATGTAAGTGATGTTGGTGTATATTCTATTATGGCTCTTCCTCTGGCACTATTTGCACAAAAGGAAGTTAGAAATGATTGGAAAACTATTTTATTCATGTATGGAGAAACCTTAGGATTAGGTTCAACGCTTCCTAATTGGACAAAAAACACAATTGGTAGACTGCGTCCATATGTTTATAATAATGACGTTTCAGTGACACAAAAAATGGAATTAGATGCTCAGCGTTCATTTTTCTCTAGCCATACTTGTGTGGCCTTTTCTTCTGCCGTCTTCCTATCACAGGTATATGCTGACTATAATCCGCATTCTAAATGGAAGCCCTTCATATGGACAGGTAGTTTATTGGCAGCCAGCACTGTAGGGTATATGCGCTATCAATCTGGCAATCACTTTCCATCAGATATACTGATAGGCGCTGCCGTAGGCAGTGGCATTGGCTTTTTGGTCCCTCAGCTCCATAAAATAAGAAAAAATAAAAATTTAACAGTCTTACCCGTTTCATCACCCAACCTATTAGGTCTCCATATTACCTACAAACTCTAATTCTGTGATAAAATTCAAAAAACTTGACCATATCCAGCTCTGTATTCCCAAAGGAAAAGAAGATGAAGCTAGAATATTTTATGGTGAAATTCTTAGGCTTACCGAAATAGAAAAACCAGAAGCACTAAAACCCAATGGTGGTATGTGGTATGAAATAGCTGATATTCAACTACACATAGGAACTGAAGAAATAGGAGATAACAAGTCAAAACGCCACCCAGCATTTGAAGTTGAAAATCTCGAAGAGGTTATCCATTACTTAAAATCACATAAGGTTAAAATCAAAGAAGACATCCCTATTCCAAATGTTAACAGAATTTCCATATTCGACCCCTTCAGAAATAGAATAGAACTGTTAGAGAAATTTTATTCAGAGAGCAGTGTAACCCTCAATTTTTGGAATGATTTCACAATTAAATTTCCTGAATACAAACATCATTCTATTCCTGTATCTGATCATTTCTGTAACGATAAAATCAATACAGACATTTGTGCAGAATTAGTATTGACGGGTGTTAAACGGGCGTCTTGTGGTTTGAAAATAATGTATGAACTTAAAAAAGAATTTTTTCCCGAGATAAATCAGTTGACCATAATAACTAACTGGGATCAAAAGCCCATCTGTGTGATTAAAACAATAGATTTATCTTTTAGAAAATTTAAGGATATAAATGCTGAATGGGCAGAATCTGAAGGTGAAGGTGACCAATCCTTGGAACAATGGAAAGAGACACACAGAGACTATTTTCAAAAACAATTGGATGAATTAGGTTTGATATTTACAGAAAATGTCGAACTCATTTGTGAGCGGTTTGAGGTGATAAAATAAATAAATTGATTATTCTCGGTAAGAACGCGCCTGGAGGCGCGTTCCTACAAACTATTTATCAAATGCTCTGCTCGACCCTTTTTAAAAATCATCTGTTTATTTTTCTTACCTTTTCGCAGTTCTTTTTGGGTTTCTAGCGGTAAATGAATAATCTCTTGACAAGCTGGTGTACAGCATTTTTCATACTTCTCTGCACATTTTTCACATTGAATGAAAAGTAAATGGCAGGCCTCATTCGCACAGTTAATATGCGTATCAGCAGGTTCCCCACATTGATGACAATGAGCGATAACATCATCTGTAATTTTCTCATGTAATCTTTCATCAAAGACGAAGTTTTTACCTATAAATTTCGGTTCAATGTCTCTTTCCTTACAATCACGTGCATATTTGATTATACCACCCTCCAGCTGATACACCTCTGTAAAACCGTGGTGCTTCATGTAGGCACTTGCTTTTTCACATCGTATGCCTCCAGTACAATACATGAGCAGGGGCTTATCCTTCTTATCCTGTAGCTCTTCGGCTACTTTGGGCAGTTGTTCTCTAAATGTATCTACATCTGGTAAAATGGCGTTCTGAAAATGACCCACCTCTGATTCATAATGATTTCTAAAATCGACCAAAGTCACCTCTGGATGCTCCATGAGTTCATTCCATTTTTTTGCATCGAGATGGACTCCACAATTTCCAGGATCAAAATTCGGGTCATCAATACCATCCGCCACAATCTTGTCTCGAACTTGGATTTTTAGCTTGAAAAAAGACTTTCCATCTTCCACTGCAAAGTTTCTCCGCATACCCTTGAACATAGGAAATGTATCCAAGTAAGTATTGAAAATTTCTAGATTTTTACTCGGTAGTGCTAGCTGGGCATTGATACCTTCATGTGCTATGTATATACGACCTAATACGCCCATGGCATACCATACACGATATAGTTCGTCTCTAAATTGTTCTGGTTCGTGGATTTTATGGTATTTGTAAAAGGAGATAGTCGTGAACTCTTCCTCCATCTGGGCTATACGCTCTTTTAATACCTTTCTATCGACTCTATTATACAGTTGCATACTATATTAAGAAGTTTAAAAATTATAAATAAGACACAAAAGTATTAAATTATTTTGGAACAATCGCCTTAAAAAAAAGAAAACCTACAGCGATACATTCGTTATCGAAAACGACGTCACATCAAAAGCCTTTTCAAAGGTAGCATGAATGGTCATAGACTTCTGGGATCGATAGATTATTTTATACTTTCCTGGCAGGAGTGAAATAGACTCAATACTTTTATTCGTGCTGAGCATCATACATTTTTCCAAAATATTGTTTCTATAAACATATAAATCCCCGTAAATATCTGATGAGTAGGTAATGTTTAAAAGTCCTGGTGCTGGCAAGATGATTTCATTGGATTTACCCCTTTTGATGGAGAGATTGGCGTATGACCTGGAGGGGATAGTATTCAGTGCCAATTTGTAGTCACCCTCCAGCATGTCCACTGAAGCAGGCAGGTAGAACTTATCTAATAAATTCGTGTCTTGATATATAAACCCTAGTGGATTTTCATAAATCTTCCCTGAAGTGTTGTCCCACTTGACATCCAAAATACCTTTGGGATAATTGACCTCTATCGTATTATGAACATATTTTTTCAATTTTATATTTTTAATCCATAAAGGCGGCACGCAATGTATTTTGATATTTACCGAATCATAATTACCCGTGGCTATTGTATCAGGCATTTGACTTTGACTGAGATGATGGTAATACACCGCTATAAATTCGCCATTCTTAGTATTATAAAGGGTGAAAGGAATATTAGTTTCACTCGTTTTTTTGTCGCCATTTTTTAGAAAGACTGAAAAACTTCTTCTATTCGCTATATTGATAAATGAGTTATACAATTCCTTTTTAAAATCCTCCTTGTTTCGGGCATTTTTAAAATCTCCAATACAATGTAGATGCTGAATTTCATTTGGATCAATATTCAAACCGATGATCAAAGGTTTGATGGAAATACGGAAGTCTAGCAATTTCTCAGCCATGGCACAAGGATTGCGATTGCAAGTCTCATAACCGTCCGTAATCAAGATAATGACATTTTTTTTACTATTGCATCCAAGGTCTTCTGCTGCCTGTTCTAGAGAATAGGTCAATGGTGTGGTTCCTTTATATTCTATAGTTCTTAGTTTCGCGACAATTTTTTTAGCTGAATTTTCTTCGATAGGCACTTCTAATTTCGAGTCGAAGCAATCATTGGCTGATACAGGAGAATTGTGACCATAGACTCGCAAACCCATTTCTACATTATAATTTTTCTGTAGAAAAAAAGAAAACTCTTCGATAGTTTTTTTGGCTATTTCCCATAGGGGCTTGTTGTCCCATTTTTGACCCATACTATGAGAGGCATCGAGCAGGAATAACACTCTAAATCTATCCTCGGGTCTATTCTGACAGGTATCTGATTGTCCATAGATACTCGAAGCTATAAAAATCCAAACGAAAGAAAGAAAAGCACGTGTCATTCTATGGTTCTATTAAAATATTCGTTGTCTGATTCTCGATAATCTTGACTGGTTTATATTTCGTATTCTCACTATGAGCTGTCTTATTTTTATACAAGATATAATAATCCCCAATTGCTAAATCAAAAGAGCTAACTATATCATTATTGAAAGTAATTACCTTCTCCCAGTTCTTATTAAATACAGTCAAATATTCTTTATTTTCACGCTTGACCGTTAAGGTTCCTCGTGCACCAGTAGGCAATTCATAATTTGATCCTTCGGATAAATTGATCTTAGAATATCGAACCATAGGATGCATATTATAATCAATAATCATATGGCTATCCACCCATCGCATATTGGAAAGTAAGCCTGTGTGCCATTGATTATTTTGCCACTGGACAGGTCTTAACAGGTATTGATTGCGTTTATTTTTAAATGGATTA